CATACGTCCACACTGAGTTATAAGTCCAATTACATACGTCCACACTGAATTATAAGTACGAATACATACGTCCATACTGAGTTATAAGTCTAAATAAATACGTTCACACTGAGTTATAAGTCCAATTACATACGTCCACACTGAGTAATAAGTCCAATTACATACGTCCACACTGAGTTATAAGTACAAATACATACGTCCATACTGAGTTATAAATCTAAATACATACGTCCACACTGAGAATAAACTAATTCCTTGTTAATTCCTTGCTATTGTAATACGGAGATAACGAAAATTATTTAAGCTTCATTTAGAATACGCAGATCGGAAGCTGAACCACGAGTAATTCAACATGAAAACGAGAGGTACTGTGTGCAATGAGCTCACTATATGATACCCCCGTACAAATATGAATAAAATGACAATTTCCATGTTTTGCTCTGGAAAATCCAAAATATATGTCAGATCAAAAAGTAAAAAAGGAGGTGCACAATGGCAATATGTTATTAAGATTCTGTGAAAGTTTCATTAAATTTCCGTCAGTGGTATGAGAGGAGTTGCGGATAACAGATGGGTACCCTAAAGCGTAACAGGCGAACGGGCGGACAGACAGACGGACGGACGGATATAAAGATTACTACATACCCTCTCACTTTTCAAGCGAGGGGTATAATAATCCGATTCCAACAGGTTTCAAGTATTCCTACCCTAGCTTTTAGAATAATCTCCCAAATACACCTACAAAAATTATTTTTATATTAAAAAAAATATGGCTATACTGTCAGGCGGGGACACTGAAATCTTGAAAGACTTCCTGCAACAACATAATTATTAAACAGTTACTTTCCTCAAAATGCACATACTTTGTGGTCAGAGTGACACATTTAAAAAAAAAAAAACAAAATTGAATTCGGCAGAAATGCCTGTCTTCCAAGAATATCTAAGTAATGGTCATGTCAATTCTTTTTTTTTTTTTGCATGCCCCCCCCCCCTTTGGCCTAAAAACTTCAAATGTCTAAATGTCAGTCTGAACAGGGGATGTCCTTTCTCCGTGTGTTTGTCTTCTGGGTAAATGCTTTTAAGATTTGAAGTAAATAATTACCGAAAATCAAATTACTTTGTTTAGAATTGAGATTAGTACTAAAATAATCAGTTATAATTGACAAATGAATTTTGCGACGCAAACCAACTGCACACTATTTTCACGACTTTGTATAGAATGTATATTAGAACTACATGCAGATAGAAAATTTACAATTATACCTTAGGAACAGCAGTTATAACACACACACACACCCTTCAGCCGTGCAAATACCAAAATACCAAATAACTTCTCTTTCCACTTGTGATATTTTCCCTGACCAAAATCTGATCAGCACGTACTAAGTGTATCGACAAGCTAGTTTGTACGGAGTAGTGGACATTTGCGAAATAGCGTACAGCGAACAGCGGACTTCGGACTTCAGACATTTTAAGGCAAACTTTTCTAAGGGAGCGGTTTAAAAAACTGAAAAATATAAATTCATAACAAATCATCTGAAAATATATAAGCCTCTGATAGAATTCTCTGATAGATAAAACTAAAAAAAAATCTTGTAAGTCAAATATTCAATAAGAAAATTCGTATAAAGAATAAATAAATAAAGAATGTAAGTAAGAGAGAAAATGAAAACACATTTTCGATGCGAGTTCTGATTGCAAAGAAACTGATTGAAACATAATGTAATCCTTGTGTTCCTTATTTCCTATTTATAAATGTTGCAGAAGTATGTTGTTTATTAGCAACCCTAATATCAAATGCTATTGCATTATTAATTCAAACCTAAATGTGATTTATAAATTCTACACCTTGAGATGCTCCCCCTTATTAAAAGTCCGAAGTCTGAAGTCCGTTGTCCACTGTACGCCATTCCGCAAATGTCCAGTGAGAGTGTGCTTACTAATGAGGTTTTTTGGAGTTTATTTTCTTTTTTGTGATGCATATTTCAATAAATGGAATTCAGGGTGTACTTCACTTGACTTGTGCACATCTTCGAACCGATGCAGTAACCTTATTACCAGGTATGGGTACGTTTACAGCGTTCGAGGCGTTTTTTGATATGCATCAATTGCATAGGACCTGCAAATCAAAGACGCTGGTTGTTTTGTTCCATTCAAATGATAATTTCAAAATGTGTTTGCGGATTTTACTGCTTTTTATTTCAATTTTTTTCTGCATAAATTGGCGCACTGTACAAATACGTACACGTGCAACTAACAGACTAATTATTTCTTCCAAACTTGCATTTTTTTCTGTTTCTTTTTTACTATTGATTCAAATCAATAATCATTCAGAAATATGAATATTATGTTGTTTATTGTGGTTTTGAAATGTCTTGGTCTCCTTATGTGTTCTCATATGCTTTACCATCCGAGATGTGCACAAGTCGATACCCAAGCCAAAAAATCATTCAAGTGTAACGAGCGCATTGGGGTATATATCGTTTGAATGAGACAAGGTATCTGAAAGAAATATGGCGGAATACGGCTATAGTTGGTATGAAACAAGTCGTACACAGACGAAAATGTTACGTTTTTAAGAATTCATGTCAGCTTTAAGCATGGTGTAAAAGAAGTCTTAATACTAGTAATTAAAATGAGTCTTCTTAAGTTTATTAAGAATATCTGACGCCTTAGAAGAGATCTAAATGTATCCTAATGATTAAAAAAAACTACGGATAGCATAGAGACAGCATGTATATTATACAGAATGTACATTATATTGTGGCATCTCGATACTTTTGTGCAGAAACTTAGACTTAGATCTTTCCTCCTCATACGTATAAAATTTTATTTTACACAGTGATATTATCATATTTATGCACCTGTTAAGAATCATTATATCACAGTCTTCATGCTCATTTCTTTTGACAAAATTTTCTTGAATACCAAAAGTTTTGACCTTGAACTGATGGATTTGACCTTCTTTTAAAAATTAAAAAGTTTAACTTGACCGTAGCCACTGAGCGGTTAGTGCTGGGAGTTTACTACTTTACTGGTTTTTCTCTTGTGGTAAGAACTTCTCTTGAATACAATATTTCAATCCATTATTTGGACCCCTGACTTTGACCCTTAAAAAAAACCTTGGTCAGAACTAATGAATGGCTGATTCTGTGACTTTTATATTTCCCCTGTGTATTCTTTGTGAAATTCCTTTGGGTATCATCAATATTGACTCCTTGACCTTGTCCAGTTTGACCTACTTTTGAAAACCTTTGTCTTTTGTCATAACTATTGAACTGATGCTGATTTTATGGTTTTTATTATAAAAATTAGATTCATATTGAGAAACTTTTCTTTTGGTACCAATTTGTTTAACTGCAAATTCCAAGTTGTAATCTATATTTTGGGGGATACATGTGTATATGTACCATAGTCAACACATCACATGATAGAGAATGACTTGTCTTAACACACATATCGATGTTCGTGTCATTGTTTAAGCACAATTTGAATATTTTTTTAATTAGATGTAGTCTCTTACTTACAAAGGTATTTGCAAACATATTGATTAATGTTAGCTCAGTTTTATTTGCAAAGGCAGATATGTATAAGACAACATCTTTCAGAAAACAATGAATAAGTGCTTATATTTTTACTTTTTTAAGTCTTTGTCCTGTTTTTCAAATTTGAATTATTATTGTTAAGTAAACTTGAATTCTCTATAACGTAAGTAACAACGAATCTAAATAATTTTTATTTTTTATTTTCACTTATAACTTTACTCTTGCACGGCATTGAACGTTTGTGACGTCAGGATAAAACACACATTACACATTTTAACCTTTTTACCCCCAGTCTGATTTATGATGTTTTGAAATAAAAAAAAAATACAATATCGATATAAGTCTACAATGACGTATCATGTGCATTCAAGAGCAGAAAAATCCATATCTTATTCTTTTTTCGAATGATAATCTGTAGCAATGAAAGGTATTGATCTTCAGAAAATGTTTTTTAAATACGCACATAATCTAGTGTCATTGCGAATCTAGTGTCATTGAGTTTCTAGCCACACGCTAAATGCAAGCTATTTAAATATATCTATGGAATAATTAGATTTGTGGAAAGAAATACTTAGTCCGTCTTACTTAATATATTTAGCTCATTTTATTCTTGATTTAAAAAAAAAATAATATCCATTTCAGCAGGTCTTGTATAGTAGATTAATGGATAAGAAATGCTCATCCATTCAAAATACTGCATGGATGAAAAAAAAATATCGGTCTATTCTTTTAGAGAAGCATAATCTTAGACGTATTATACTGCAAAACATGAACATCAAATATACCTAATAGTTTTTAAAATCGTCTTAAAACCTTTACTACAATGACACCTGTTTTATCTGACATGCATGGGGAGCAGATTACAAATGTATGTGTCGAAATGAACAAGGTGTAGTATTGTTGCGTGTAAAGGTCAAGGACATAAGTATAAATAAATATAGAAGAAATGAAATTAAATGGCATTAAAGTATTTTGCCCATGTGTCGGATTAAAAAGGTTCAACCGTAATAGGTTTAACAATAAAGTAATCTTCATCCTAATGTTCCGTCACGACACCTCAGTTTATCAGTGTTTACAAAAAAGAAAGAAATATTTCTATTTTCAAATTTATTACAACACATATAAAGTACACCTTTTACTGAATACATTCAGTATCGCTTTACAGAACTGTTTAACCCCTCTTCCTTTACCGAGGACATATCTGTTTACATGATTCTTACTTGATGTTAAATATTAAAAAAAAAAATCAGAGATAAAAATTAATTTAAAATCGTCTCTTGAGGGTTTCCAAAATCCATAAATGATCTTTCGTCTGTTAAAAAAATTAAATTAATACTTTACATATAAATGTATGATAGCATATTTTTTCTATTAAAAAACAACTTTTATAAATGAAATTTCCAGAGTAATACAAAAAGAAGAAAAAAACGGATATTAATATGTAATGATGTTTACCTAGTTACGTCTGACCATCAAGGTGGTCGCCTTCACTGATGTCCCACTCGTTACTGTGGGATACCATGGTCTGAACCAGGACCCCGGGGACCAGGGACCGTTAAGGAAGGCTTGGTGGCAGTAGTTAAACCACCAGCCTCCTCTAGCGTCACTGTAACCAGCACAGTTACCACTATAACTGTCATTTTCCCTGCCTGGGGTACTGAAGAACATCCCAGACAGATCTCTAGTAGGATTACCTGTGGCTAACATACTGTCTCCTGTAAAATTGAATAAAAGGAATCACAGAGATAATGAATGTATATATATATTTAATCTTATTGTCAATAAAAATACTAAGGGACTTCTAAGATAGACGGCTTTAGGTGCTGAAAAGAGTGATAATATTTATTTAGTTCAGTCATAGAATCCCCTGTGGTTATAGTAATGGAACCTGCAATATTAGAGAAAATATATAACAGAGATAATAGTTATTAATTTACATCTCATTAATCGTAATCCCGAAGTACGTCTGAGATACACAGTTTGATGTTTTGTTTACTGTAAAGAGAGATAAAAAATACAAGCTAACAAAACACTGCGGAATTCACATAGCATCTTTTCTAGTGTAACAATAAACAACAGATGTGCTTCTCCTCTAAAGCATGGTATTTTTTAGGGGGAGGGGGGGGGGTAAAGGTCACTGAAAATATCAGAAAACGTTAATAAATGAAATATTCATATATGTCAGAAACCGTGCCTTTAATAATGTATAAAATACAGTTCGAAGTAAATCAATCAAAACTTTAACGATATAAGATATGGTGTACCTGTAAATGTTTTGAAATATTAGATTTTCATTACATGAGGCATATGTATTGTAAATGTTAAAAGCGTTGAGGTGTTTTAAATATGGCTTTTGAATTTTCTTTTTTAATTTGAATATGTATTTGATCAAATAAGTATCATTTGATATTTAAGATCAATGACGCTCTGTAAACTTCTTATTCCGTAGTAGTAAAATGTGAATTATTGCAAAGCAGACTAGATTTTCGTCAAATAGACAAAAGTTATAGTAAATATGAAACACATTGAGGTGTTTTGAATTTGGCTTTTTTAAAATTTGAATATGTTGCCGATAAAATAATTTTATTTGAACATGAAAGTTTCCTCGAAATGTCGACATAATAGATCAATTATGCTGTGTAAACTTCCTGTCCCGTTGAAGTTAAAATTTGAATAATTAACCAGAAGTCTTTGTCGAGACTGAAGCTCTACTGGTTTGAACTTTTAGCAAAGGAAGAGAAAGTACTTAATAAGCAGGGATTTGAAACTTTATAAACAGCATTAAATAGAATGATGATCGTTGATAAAGTCTCTTTTTGTTCTTAGTGTAGTCAACTTGTGTGCCAAGTTATACTGAAATCAGACCAAAACTGTAGGAGGAGTAGCATTTTGAAACAATTTTACAGACATTTCTATTTTTAGTAACCACGGCAACACCGTTCATCAAAATTAAAATTCGATATACAGAATTATGTATCTTATTGTATTCTACTTGTTTGCCAAGTTATACTGAAATCAGACCAAAACTGTAGGAGGAGAAGCATTTTGAAAGAATTTCACAGAAATTCCTATTTTTAGTAACCACGGCAACACCGTTCATCGAAATCAAAAACCGATGCACAGAATTATGTATCTTAGTGTATTCTACTTGTGTGCCAAGTTATACTGAAATCAGACCAAAACTGTAGGAGGAGTAGCATTTTGAAAGAATTTCACAGAAATTTCTATTTTTAGTAACCACGGCAACACCGTTCATCGAAATCAAAAACCAATATACAGAATTATGTAACTTAGTGCATTCTACTTGTGTGCCAAGTTATACTGAAATCAAACCAAAACTGTAGGAGGAGTAGCATTTTGAAAGAATTTCACAGAAATTTCTATTTTTAGTAACCACGGTAACACCGTTCATCAAAATCAAAAACCGATACACAGAATTATGTATCTTAGTGTATTCTACTTGTTTGCCAACTTATACTGAAATCAGATCAAAACTGTAGGAGGAGTAGCATTTTGAAAGAATTTCACAGAAATTTCTATTTTTAGTAACCACGGCAACACCGTTCATCCAAATCAAAAACCGATGCACAGAATTATGTATCTTAGTGTAGTCTACTTGTGTACCAAGTTATATTGAAATAAGACCAAAACTGTAGGAGGAGTAGCATTTTGAAAGATTGTTTACAGACAGACAGACAGACAGACGGACAGACAGACGGACGGACGACGGACGCATTACTATCGCATAAGCTCTTCTGGTCTCTGACCAGTAGAGCTAAAAATTATCAAGAAACCTAAGCTCAATAACAATTTTTGAGCAAATATGATTGCTTGCTTTGTTTCTTAAATATAATGTAACACATTTTTCTTTATATTTTATCTATCTGACATTAAAAAACTCAATGTTTGCGGAATTAGAGAATTAAACATGCAGATGATATTCTGAAATTTAAAACATACTTAGTGTGCGTGGAATCAAAAAGGTATACAGAATACCAGAAAAAAAACCCTATCTTTTTTCAACAACTTAATAGTCTTTCAATCAAAAATATTTTTTATGATAAGATACGTAATTTGAACCTTATTTTAAGAACTTTACGTAGATACACAAACCTAAGGTCCCCGTGGCAGGTCCTGCAAGAAAGATTTGATATTTTCCTGCTTCGTCGGAGACAGAGAAACCGCCGTACATTTCATAAAGCGTTGTACCATTCTGTAGAGTTATGGTCACATACAGGGATGAGGTGTTTTCTTTTGTTAATTGATGTATCAAGTCATTTCCTGTATTAAACAATCCATTGATTCTTATTTGAATATAATCATACCTTATTGACTAATCAAATTACTTTCCTGTTTTAAGATATATTCAAAATCAATAACTATGTGTATAACAATAATATTGTTTCATAAAAATAGCCCAATGGAAAATAATATAACAATCTAAAGATTTTTGTTAAATGCATTGTTTAAAACTGTATCAGACTATATCAGATTATGCCTATTGTATAGTATTTATATGCATGTTATTCAGCTATTTATAATCTGCTCCTATATCATGCTTTATTTAGATATACAAGGGTTGTCCGGGAAAATCGTGGACAAGGTGTTTCTTTTTGAAAATAATGGGCACACTGAGCTGAAATTTTCAGTAAATGTTTATTTATGATATTGAAGTGCATCATAATATTTTGATAAAATTATTGACAGAAATCAAGATTTTATTATGCTTGAATGTGTACAGGTAGGGTCCTACTGTTCACGGTAAAAAAAACAAATGTTATTTAAGAGAATACATGAGTATTGATCAGAATAAAAGATTTAAACACATGAGATTAAGGGGTAAAAATTATCCTTAATCGGTTCCACAATTTATTCTGTCGTCTTTCCAAAATTTTCAGGCCAATTGGTTATTATTTTTTTTTGGCAGTTTCCTTAGCATTCGAAGTGGTAAATACAGCACACGAAAAAAAAGTGACGTTTGATGACATAACGGCGCAGTTAAGTTTGATTTAGCTGGTGTGAAAACAACTTAAGAAACTTTAAATGAAAAAAGAAGAAAAAAAATAAGAAAAAAAATCTCAGATTTTTATCATGGAAATGTTATGGAACTTTTCTTAGTGAAGTCGTTCTTGATCGAGTCCCCATGTAGTACAAAACATACGGACAAACTTATATTGTAAGAACAAATGATGCTGTCACTGTTGACCGCTTGTGTGAATTATGGGTGTGCGAATGACACAAACTTGTACGTGGGTATATAATTTTCAATAAGCGCAAGCTTGCTTAATGAAATAAGCCTACGAGACAATTCTGTGTGATTCACACACCCATAACTCACACAAAACTTAAAAACATAAGGACTTTCAAAACCTGAAGGACTTTGAAATACGGAAAGTCCTTTGAATTTCCATTCTTGTATATATTATCTTTCCTTTATTTTGATAATAACTCGTAAATGCATTTTTTATTTACCATTGAACTACTAAAAACAAGACTAATGCAAGTAGAGTACTGTTTATATTATGCGTACATCAATTTATGTTTTAACTGCTTTCAAAATTCAAATGTTTGTATATATCTTGGTTAGATTTTTAAACCAATTAAAGACCCGGTATTGGCTCATATTTACCAATCCAAACTTCCTGTTCCGGTTCACCAAAACCATTTTTGTAGTCTGTCCAGTTTCTGTCAAAGCTCACGGACCCATCGAATCGTTTTTGGATTGCCTTGAAAAGATATATGCACATTTATTGGGCTACTTTGGATTTGCCTCGGAAAGATGTATGTACATTTATTAGGATAGTTGACTTGCTGTTTAAATTAATTAGATAACTAATGTGAGGGTCTCTTGTAGAATTTATAGACATGGTATCATTTTCAAAACAAGATGAAGATAACGAGCGGTGACCGACTTTTAAAAAAGGTAACAACCAATCCAAATATGTGAACAGGACATAGATCAAACCCACATACACCACACACACCATCTAACACACATACACACACCGAAAGTTCCAACGGTGGGATAAGGTTCATGAATTAAAAAGGGAGCCGTGAGCCTATGTAAAGAGCAGATAGACGTATCATTCTCTAGTCTAATTTAGTATACAGCGATCTAACAATTGAAATGAAAGAGACAGCAAAAAGTCGACCCATTCATTGACCATTTTTCGAAATGCTGACTTAAAATGAGGTTTTAAAATCCCTTTTAGTCAAAACATTCCTAAGTATTCTGTCTTAGCTTAAAAATTAATTTTGATCTTACTCTTGCTGATTGTATAAATTGGGAAGATGCTTACACCAGATGCAGGTGATAGCAGAATATCAATTAATAAATAAGGGAAAACGAAAATGGAAAACTATATTAATTTCCTGGACGAGACACAATGTAAATATCACAAAATCAACCCAATGCATCATATAACCAGAAATTAAAACTTAGAATTTACCAAAACTCACCGTCCACCCGCCGCCCATTATATCCATGTTACAGTGAACCTTGACCGGAATGGACTTTGTCCCGTATGGGTAAATATCGTACACGTCCGATTTATCATAATCATTATCACGAAGTTCCTTACAGTCTGAAGGGAGAACTAAAGAACAAAGTGAGAATTATGTAGGATTAGGACTTACATAACATTAAGGGAAAACTTAAGACTAAAATTGAAAATTATATAGGATTAGGACTTACATAATATAAAAGGAAAACTAAAGACCAAAAGTGAGAATTACATAGGATTAGGACTTACATAATATTAAGAGAAAACTAAAGAACAAAAGTGAGAATTATATAGGATTAGGACTAACATAATATTAAGGGAAAACTAAAAAACAAAAATGAGAATTATATAGGATTAGGACTTACATAATATAAAGGGAAAACTAAAGAACAAAAGTGAGAATTATATAGGATTAGGACTTACATAATATTAAGGGAAAACTAAAGAACAAAAGTGAGAATTATATAGGATTAGGACTTACATAATATAAAGGGAAAACTAAAGAAAAAAGTGAGAATTATAAAGGATTGGGGCTTACATAATATTAAGGGAAAACTGAAGAACAAAAGTGAGAATTACATAGGATTAGGACTTACATAATATTAAAAGGAAACTAAAGAACAAAAGTGAGAATTATAAAGGATTAGGACTTACATAATATAAAGGGAAAACTAAAGAACAAAAGTGAGAATTATAAAGGATTAGGACTTACATAATATTAAGGGAAAGCTAAAGAAGAAAAGTGAGAATTATATAGGATTAGGACTTACATAATATTACTTGAAAACTAAAGAACAAAAATGAGAATTACATAGGATAAGGACTTACATAATATTAAGGGAAAACTAAAGAACAAAAGTGAGAATTATAAAGGATTAGGACTTACATAATATTAAGGGAAAACTAAAGAACAAAAGTGAGAATTATATAGGATTAGGACGTACATAATATAAAGGGAAACTAAAGAACAAAAGTGAAAACTATATAGGATTAGGACTTACATAATATAAAGGGAAAATCTTAATTCATATCTGAGATTCATTTAAGATTTAGATTAGGACCATCTGAAGGAGGAACTCAAAATTCAAAACTAAGAATTATAGAATTCTTTCTATATAATAATTTTAAGAATTCAATAATCTTGTAATAATCTTAATTCAAAACTTAGAATTATATAAGATTATGACAATAAATAAAATAGTTATCTTCACAGTTCAACGCTTGAAACGACTCATAAGAATAAACAATCAAAATAAGGTAAGATAAATCGGCTACAATTGTAAGATTAAAGAAAAAATAAGACAAAAAATAATACATACATGCTGGAAAGTAATACCGCCATCCGGTGTCGTCCGACATTCCAGTAGTGAACGTTTTCTTGTGGGTCCGGCACTTCTTCAGCGTAGGGTTGTACCCGAAGAAACCGCGATCTCTCTGACAGGTGGCAGCACACTCGCTTAAAGATTGAGCTTCGTGGTGTCCTATAAGTTCCTCATTGGACATCTTGTTATCGAGTTCCAGTTTTGCGGTATATCTCAAGGAGGAGATGGTAGCACTAGAAACTGTAAATAGAAAGACAATGAAACACACAATACGAAGACTGCTCATTTTGGAGTTTCTGGTGTGTATTTAGAGCGTTTCTGTAGGAGCTTAGAATTAATCCGTCAACTGACGAGTTTAAATATCAAATTATTATCCATTCCTGCAAAACGATTGGCTTGTTATAGTATTATTATTTCTAGAGTATCGATTGTGTTTAATTCCTGGAATTATTACATTTGCCGTTCTTATTTAAATGACCGAATGAAATAAGGGTGTCAATGCAATAACAAAACTACATAAATATATTACCAAAGTGCCATACTAGAAAAAAAATATTCTATAATATGCGCTAACGAATTTCCATTAAAAATAAACAGAATGAAACTATTCCTTTGCAATTGGGTTTGAAGAATCCTTCAGGATATCAAAGATATTAGAGGAAAAGGGATTATTACACTCCCTATCTAAAAGAAGTACTTCCCTTTTTGATTTTCTACATGTATCAAACTGTTTTCTCAAAAAGAGATAATATATCTCATCCAAATAACCTGCTTAATTTTACTTCAAAGTTTTACTTTACCAATCTTATCAAAAAAACAAAAACAAAAAAAAAAAAAAAAACATTCTATACATTACTTTCATCCCTATTTTCTGATAAAAGTAATTTTTTTAAACCTTTTGTGAAATTCTAATGATTAAAATATATAAACATGATATCCTACAAAATATATTCTATAATATTGTCTTTCACAAAGTGTGCTTTATATAAATTTAGTTTTAACAAACATACTCTTCATTTTTACTACTTCCACCATGAAAGTTAGGTTTCCAACACTTTAAAAAAAATGTTTATGAGAAAACTTCAGTTATAATGATATGAAATATATACAATATAACCCAAAATTTCTAAAATGCAAACAAAAACATTTTTTTTAGAAACAGTGAATTTTAAAGGAGTCTGTTCCAGTTCTACCTTTCTCAACTTATTCTGCCTCGTTTAAGAAACCGCTTGCAGTTTTGTTTGCAAATGTAATTCTCGAGAACCTCTCCATCATATTATGAAGTCAATACTTGTCTTTTAGCTCAAACAAAAAAGTATTAAAGTCAACTTTTTTTTACTATAATAGTAAAAATTATAGATAAATAATATGGAGATAACGAGCAGTATTCAATATCAAATTCATCAAATTCTATTAAACAATACAAAATAGAGCAGAGCAAACACGGACCCCCAAAACATCGGAGGTGGGATCAGATGCCATGGAGGAGTGAGCATCCCCTACCGACCCGTCACACCCGCCGTGTGTTCCGTGTCATGATCAGGAAACAACGAAAAAATCCGTCGTCAATTCAGTGTATAGATAATACAATCAGTATGAGAAACGTCAGTCAGCATTTTTTTAAATGGTAATTTTTATTTGCTGACAAGATAATTGTATCAACCATAGAACTTAAGAAATAATGACTTTAGAGGAGAACGTTGATATTCTTGTTTCATCAACTTATTTGTCAATAAATACCTTGTTTCTTGTCTCCATATGATTGCATTTTTCTACTTTTTCTCACACTATGAACCTACAGGCTTCAATTGCATTTATAGGACTATAAACACAACTTCTTCTATTCTGAGTGCAGTTCGATTTACACACCCGCATATTACATCCTACACTGTGTGTTCAGAAGTAAAAATATAAAAATTTTAGCAAAAGGAATAAATATAAGTTTCTTATAATATTCTTAGAAAGAAACTCAAAACATAAATAAAATTGCATATTTATATCTTAAAGAAAATAATTGATGTCAATAAATTTAATTGTATAATAAAAGTTTTAAATATTCTTAGAGAATTGTCATATCCTTATTTATTGCTTTTACTTCTACGATTTCTGCAAGGACCAAAAAACCTCTTCACGCTTGGGTGTCATTCAGAAAAAAAAGGATAACTTCTTTAAAGGTATGTATTTTCTATTTCAGCTCTTAAAATAAATTTCAAAACTAAAAAAAATTATAGAAAAACATTTTCGTGGTTATAACCATTATAAAAACAGTCTCATTTTTCATCATAGTGTTAAAATTTTGATTTTTTAGAGGGTTTCCATACTTAATATCGCGAGTTATCTAACTTACTACTGCTTTTTTACAAGAGGTTGGATAAAACTCTAGATGTTGGGGACATGTGACATTGTTTTACAGTAGTAACAATCAAATAATTTGATAAATTTTATGGCGAAAGTACAGAATATTGAAAAGAATTCGACTCCAAATAGTAGATTGTCAACTGCGGAAAGTTTAGAATATTTTATCAGCTTTAAAAAAGACAATTGTCAATGAAAATTTGATGACAAAATCCGCTTAGTTACACAAAATGTAACTTTTTAAGAATATTTCGTCTCAAAAATTAATTAGACTGGTTCAGCATTTTTTTAGCAAGGTATTCCACAATGACTTTTTTTTTACGTATATACATGTATATACTTTTAAAACTAATTCTTGTCTTATATAATTTATGATTAAATCGTGTTAAATATTACAACAATCTCTAAAATAACATGAAGATTTTGTTTAAATTTTTCCTACTCAAATGTTATAAATGTAAAACAAGTACATGAAATTAAATCATTTTTTTAAAAGGGGATGGGGGGCGTAAAATGATTTTCTTGGCAGGCGAGCTGTTCATATACATTACTGTACATGTATGTAGGCAAATGGGGATTTTAATTTAAATCAGATACATGTAAAGGAGAATAGAAAGTATTTTTTTTTAGCATATCGCTTTATAGAGTATTAAATAAATTAATATCCGTAAGGTAGAATTGGATAAATATAACACGACGGTCGTCTAGATTTTCTCGACTGACACATTCATTTTTAAAATGGAAAACACGAAATATTTTTTTCTAAATTTTGTCTGAATTTATTTGTTATTGATAATATTCATATGAGTCATATCTTTATATGTAATTGAAAAATTGTGTCGGGTAATATTTTTTAAACAACCCCATGGCGATGCACTCTCTCGCAGCTCTTTTTTTTTTTTTTGTCAAAAGTTTTTGGTCATTGACATTCGATTTGATATCAATATTTTTTTTTTATAAGGTTCTAGTTTAGACACTCCTTTTCGTTAATTTCTTTAAAAAATTCCTTTTAGTTACTCGTTACAATGCCTGTTACTAAAATTAAAGCTTTTAAGATGTCACCCACATCGCAAAGTGTTTTGCCTGCCTCCACCTGTCTCACTCAAATAGTAATTGAACACATTTCTCAGTATAGTAATGATGATGTAGTGATTTTAAAAATAAAATAATATATAACTGGTAGGTTCCGTATAAATTGATAATAACTACAATGTAATTACTACATTAGGCATGTGATATGTATTATCTGTAGAATGCAACTACAGTATCGGAGCAACTGAACAAATAATTCTTAACATCTAATTCTTAACAAGCCTAAAAATTGTTTTATAATGTAAGTATATAGTGTGAAAATTAATAGAAAGACAGGGAAAATGACAGTTATAGTGGTAACTGTGCTGGTTACAGTGACGCTAGAGGAGGCTGGTGGTTTAACTCCTGCCACCGAGCCTTCCTTAACGGTCCCTGGTCCAAGGAGTCCTGGTGGAAACCGTGGTATCCCACAGTAAGGAGTGGGACATCAGTGAGGGGGACCACCATGATGATCAGACGGAACTAGGTAAACATCATTACATCTTAATATCCATTTTTTTTCTTTTTGTATCACTCTGAAATTTTCATTTTTTAAAGTTGTTTTTTTTAATAGAAAAATATGCTATCATACATTTATCTGTAAAGTATTAATTTATTTTTTTTAACAGACGAAAGATCATCCATGGATTTTGGATACCCCCAAGAGACGATTTAAAATTAATTTTTATCGCTGAGTTCTTTTTTTTAATATTTAACATCAAGTAACAAACAGTAAAAGAAGGTGATTGAACGGCTCTGTAAAGCGATACTGGATGTATTCAGTAAAAGATGTATTTTATATGTGTTGTAATAAATTTGAAAATAGACAAATTTCGTTCTTTTTTCCAAACACTGATAAATGGAGATAACTGGACGGAGAATGAGGATGAAGATTACTTTATTGTTAAACCTGATATATATTACAGTGGAACCTGAATTACATGTAAATTATCCGACACATGCAATACTCTTTACTGTGATTTCAGCCATTTAATAAGATGATGCCCTTGCACGTGATAGGAACGACATTTTCCTGTTGATATTTGCGGGAGAATTAACGAATCGGAACCAGTTACTACAGATCTTCTGCATCTATGTTGTAAGTACCATCAGTCCCCTGTTTATCTACCTTTGAAAACAATAAGATCCTAATTGTTAAGAATTAATATTAGTTCTAAATTATCTAATTATTTTATACTAAATGACAATTATATCCATATTGATCAAAATTACTTTAAAGTAATGAATATTTAAGTATTAAAGGAATATAAAAAAATAAAGGGGGTCAAAAGTTTACAATGTTTAATATGCGTTTTATTCTGACGTCATAGACGTTTAATGCCGTGCAAGAGAAATATCATAAGCTAAAACAGGATTGTAAAGTATTTTTATTGATTATTTAAGTAAGCGATAATTGAAGCATTTAAAAAATGATTAAAATTTGCAAAGCAATACAAGGAAAAGGTAGAATTATAAGCATTTCTTTATTACTTTCTGAAAGATGAAATTTTTTTTATCTGCAACTGTATTTGAACTAAAACTTTCATTACGCAAGCTAGCCTTAATCAATGTCTGTAAAAATATAAAAAAAAATATCAATGTTGAAGTAATAAACCAATTAAACATCGACACATGTGTTAACGCAAGCTATTCTCTATTTTGCGATACATAAATTATTCATTTTTCGTATTTTTCAAACTGCACAGGAAATTAAAACATTCTTCGGAAAATAAATATTATTTATTTTTGAACTATCTCATTGGTAAAATATCTGATCCATTGTTATTTTTTGTTTTACAAACATAATTCGATTGCAAGTATAAAAATCATTAGATCATCTGTGAAACACTTTTTCAAGTCCAAATCTAATTCATCTTCGGG